CCCGCCACCTTAGGTGTATGTGGCTGGCACCCTAGCCGCTTGAGCCACAGGCGCCGAGCCAGCACAGACAACTCTTGGGAGACTTTGCTGTGGGGGTACAGAAACTTGGAGGGACATATATTTCAGCTTTTTAAAAAATTTTAGTGTAGTTGATATTAAAATTATGTTAATGTGAATGTTAGTGAGAAAGAACTTTGTATGTTACAGGAAAGAATGGATAACAGAGGCCAGAATATCTGGGGGCTTCTTGGCTTGTAATGGGATTTTTTGGGGGGGGTAGGGGGATAGACTGTTACTTTGTCACACTTGGTAGAGTTCTGTGGCATCACAGCTCACAGCAATCTCATACTCTTGGGCTCTAGTAATTCTACTGCCATAAACCCCAGCTATTTTTTTTTTTTGAGACAGTGTCTCACTATGTCACACTCTGTAGAGTGCTGTGTCATCACAGCTCACAGCAACCTCAAACTCTTGGGCTTAAGCGATTCTCTTGCCTCAGCCTTCCAAGTAGCTGGGACTACAGCTGCCCGCCACAGTGCCCGGCTATTTTTTTGTGGTTGTTGTTTAGCATGCCTGGGCCAGGTTCGAACCCAGCAACGCTGGTACATGTGGCCAGTGCTTTAACCATGGAGCCACGGGCGCCAAACCTGAGGTTTTAATTCTCTTCTGCCAAAGTGCCAGTCAGCTTGCTAGCTGACAGAACTTTCTGTCTTCTCCAGTTTGCACATAGCCATGAAAATATGTTATCACGGTATACAGAGTTGTCCCTCCTCCACCCTGAAGTTGCTAGCAGGCTTGGGAAAGTTGATTCATGCTTTATTTTCCAGCTGGGATTGACAAGGCAGTCTCATGTTCTCATAGCTACCTTCCAGATACTTTATGATTGCACTTTTTATCTCTCTAGAACAACTTCCAAGGTAAGGAAGGATACTTTTTTTTATTGGAGACAGAGTCTCACTTTGTCACAAGCTAGAGTGCCCTGGTGTCACAGCTCACAGCAACCTCAAACTCATGGAATCAGGCAATCCTCTTGCCTTCAGCCTCCTGACTGGGACTACAGGCATGTGCCACCACTCCCAGCTAGTTTTTTCTATTTTTAGTTGAGATGGGGTCTCACTCTTGCTCAGGCTGGTCTCGAACTACGAAGCTCAAGCAATCCACCTGCCTTGGCCTCCCAGAGTGCTAGGATTATGTGTGTGAACCACCACACCCACCCTACATTAAATTTATTTAAAAGTAATAAACCCTGGCCCGGCGCGGTGGCTAATGCCTGTAATCCTAGAAGTCTGGGAGGCTGAGGCGGGTGGATTGCCTGAACTCAGAGGTTCAAGACCAGCCTGAGCCAGAGCAAGACCTCATCTCTAAAAATAGCCAGGTATTGTTGTTTTTCAAAACAAAAAAGCTTAGTGAGAAGAGTGGTGTTGTCTTACATTTTTTTTCAAGTTTCTTTAGTATCTGTCTTTTTTTTTTTTTTAATACGGAACGTTTCACGAATTTGTGTTTCATCCTTACGCAGGGACCATGCCAATCTTCTCTGTATTGTTCCAATTTTAGTATATGTGCTGCCGAAGCAAGCACTAGTATCTGTCTTAATATAAAACAGCTAGAATCTGCTTGTGCTTTCATTCTGTTGCCAGATCATGTGTCATGTATCCTCTAGAAAACTTGACTCACTGAATACCCATGAGAAAATGAGTGCAAAAGGAAAATGAAATTTAGAATCATTGTAAAAATATTTTTGATCTTGGGCGGCGCCTGTGGCTCTGTGGGTGGGGCACCAGACCCATATACTGAGGGTGGCAGGTTTGAGCCAGGCCAAGCTGCAACAGGAAAATAGCCGGGATGTTGTGGTGGGTGCCTCTAGTCCCAGCTGCTCAGGAGGCTGAGGCAGGAGAATTGCCTAGGCCCAGGAGTTGGAGGTTGCTGTGAGTTGTGTGACACTATGGCACTCTACTGAGGGTGATAGAGTGAGATTCTGTCTCTACAAAAAAAAAAAAAAATTTTTTTTTTGACCTTAAGGACCCTCTGAAAGGTTTTTTTAAAAAAAATTTTTTTAGAGACAGAATCTCACTTTGTTGCCCTTGGTAGAGTGCCATGGCATCACAGCTCACAGCAACCTCCAGCTCTTGGCCAGAACCCCAAATAGCTGGGACTACAGGCGCCCGCCACAACGTCCAGCTATTTTTTGTTGCAGTTTGGCTGGGCCAGGTTTGAACCTCTACAGGTATATGGGGCTGTTGCCCTCCCCACTGAGCCACAGGCTCCGCCCATCTCTGAAAGGTTTTAAAACGGGATCCCTAGGGGCACTCAGACCATACTTTGGGAACCACTATGCTAACTAAGTATTGAGATAGAGCCCTCAAGGAGGTAAGGGACCAGCAAGAGAGAACATTTACAGGTGTATACAGTGCAACATGTTAAGTGCTCTAATAGCGTATAATAATGTAAGTGCAGGGAGGAATTGATTCTAACACAGAAGGTCAACAAAGGCTTCAGGGAGAAACTGACATTTGAGTTGGAGCTTGAAACTTGAGATCTGTATGCCATGATAGGAAAGGTAAGGGCTTTCCTGGCTCAGAAACAGCATGAGGAAAGGCACGAAACAAGGAGCATTGATGATAAAGCCATTGTTTCTAGAATATGACATGTATGAAGAGAAGTGACGGAAGAGGAGGAGTACAGTGGGAGGACAAACTGAATACAGTCTTTATTCTGTAGGCAATGAGGAACAATTGAAGACTGTAAAGCAGAACAACACAAGAATATTAGCTAGTCTTTGTACCCCTACTCTGTCTAGGGGAGGCACTTTATTAGGAAATTAGTTTTTTTTGCCAACCCATAGCCTCAATTTATAGCTGAAGAAACTGATGCTTCCAGTAATTAATTTGCAAATTGGATCTCTTTTTTTATTATGAAACTGACTCCTATTTTCAATACGTTTTTCTGAAGTTCTTAAGATTGAGAAATGAGGTGTTTCCAGATATATGGATAATAAATTAATAAAAAGTAAATAGGCTCGGCACCCGTAGCTCAGTGAGTAGAGCACCAGCCACATACACCGAAGCTAGCGGGTTCAAGCCCAGCCCCGGCCTGCTAAACAATAATGACAACTGCACCCCAAAAATAGTGGGGCATTGTGGTGGGTGCCTGTAGTCCCAGCTACTTGGGAGGCTTCTCTTGGACTAAGGCAAGAGAATTGCTTAGTCCAAGAGTTTGAGGTTGCTGTGAGCTGTGACACCACAGCACTCTACCGAAGGCAACATAGTGAGATTCTGTCTCAATTAATTAATTAATTAATTAAAAGTAAACAACAGAAATGGAGTACCTCTTAGTTTCCTAGAAAGAAGTGGTGTAGTATCAAGTTCATGTAGTCCCAGCAGCTTGAGAGGCTCAGACAGAGCATCACTTGAGACCAGGAGTTGGAGGCTAGCCTGGGCAACATAGCCAGACCTTGGCTGTTCCTTCAATAGGCCTAATAAAGCAGGAAGAGAAGCTCGTTTCCCTGGGAATCCAAAAAGATCTTTCTGCTGTCCCCCATGCTCAAAATTGCTACCCTCCATGTGTAATAAATACTGGACTTCAGGAGTATCATTTTAAAAGTTTTAGCAAAAATAAGGTAATGGGGCAGTGTCTGTGGCTCAGTGAGTAAGGTGCCGGCCCCATATACCGAGGGTGGCAGGTTCAAACCCAGCCCCAGCCAAACTGCAACAACAACAAAAAAAATGGGCATCGTGGCGGGCATCTATAGTCCCAGCTACTGGGGAGGCTGAGGCAAGAGAATCGACTAAGCCCAAGAGCTGGAGGTTGCTGTGAGCTGTAACGCCAGGGCACTCTACCAAGGGCAACAAAGTGAGACTCTGTCTCTAAAAAAAAAAAATAATAAGGAAATGAACTAAGCTCAAACTCACAAGAAAGAATCAAACACAGTGATTAAAACTTCCAGCCAATTTTGGCTTGGTGCCTATAGCTCCTAGGGCTCCAGTCACATACACTGGAGCTGGCAAGTTCAAATCCAACCCGGACCAAAAAATAGCTGGGCACTGTGGCAGGCGCTTGTAGTCCCAGCTATTTAGGAGGCTGAGGCAAGAGAATTGCTTGGGCCCAGGAGTTTGAGCTTGCTGTGAGCTGTGCCGTCACCACACACTACCAAGGGTGACAAAGTCAGATGACTCAGATTAAAAAAAAAAAGGATAATAGTCTGTGCTTCTTTCTTTGGGTGTTGTACTCTGTTGTTCTGGTTGCTCAGGAAGTAAATATGAATTGGATGTGTTCCCTACTGAGAAGTATAAAAGGCATGAACAGTTCTGGGGACTAAATTTCTTTTGTCCTCTGTGACTTCAGCTTGCTCCACAGCCATAGTGTAATAGGGAGGCACCCTTATGTGGTATGTATCTCAGTTGAATGCTGTTTAAGACCTCAAACCTAGATCCCAGGCAATGCTCAGTAGTGATTTAGAAACCCTAAGGCAAAGAGGGTGGGAATGCATAAGAATTATTCATTTTTCACTTAAGATTTTTTTCATTCCTATTATTATTCACTCCAGATGTTTTGTGTATGGGGTCAGACTTGTATTTACACAACTGTTGCTTAACTTTAATGTCAAGTTGATAGCCCACTTAGCATTCAATAGTAGAGCCCTGCTACAAGCAAGTCTAAGATACGAGTAAAATGGACCCTCCCTATGTCCCAGGTTGCATCGGGGATTCAATCACCTAAATATTCAGAAAAGGCCAGGGGTGGTCTCACGCCTGTAATCCTCCCACTCTGAGGTGGAAGAAGGAGGATCCCTTGACCTTGGGAGTTAAGACCACTCAAGATCAGAGAAGAGTGAGACCTGGTCTCTATTAAAAACAGAAAAATTAGCTGGGGCTTGTGAGGTGACTGCAGTCAGTCCCAGCTACTGGGAAGGCTGCGGCAAGAGGATCGCTGGAGCCCAGGAGCTTGAGGTTGCTGTGAACTAGGCTGATGCTAAAGCCCACGCCAGACAGCGGCAACAGAGTGCGACTCTCTCAAAAAAACCAAACCAAAGTAAAACACCACAGTCACAAATAAAAAATACAATACAGCAACTATGTACATAGCACTTGCATTGGGTATTATAAGTAATCTAGGGATGGTTTTATTACATTATCTAGATATACCTAGGTTTATACACACACTAACTACATCACTTTGTGTCGGGGATTTGAACATCTGCAGATTTTGCTATGGGGGTCCTGGAACTAATCCTCTGTGGATAATAAGAGGCGACTGTATACACCTCTGTGTATGAGGCCGATAGTTAGAAGGCCTACAGGGAATTCTCGGGTTATCTAGAAACCCTAGCCCCTTCCCAAATCCTTCCCTTTAGCCCAGGGGCTGGTGGGGGCGGTCTCCTAGGAGACCACAGAAGAAAGCGCGCATGCGCATACCGAGGGCCCGGCTGATGCAACCTCACCCAGGCGAGCAGCTCTAGAGTAAGGAAGCCGACGGGGAAATCTGGCAAGACCAATCGGGTTCCGCTCGGAAGTGTGCAGAAAGGCCCGCCCACCGGGGCTCTGCGAATGACGCTAGGCGGCGCGGGGCTAGTGGCGTAGACGCTCGCGGTCCTTGGTCTCATCCGGTGGCTTGGGTATCCTGCCTCCTCGTTGGCCCTGCGGCCATTTTGAGCTTCACTGCCACCGCGCTTGCCTGCTCAACCCTTCCGGTGTCGCGCTCCTCAGGGGCTTAACGGTCGGTCTCTCTGTAAAAGTCGTCTCCGTCATTGCGGAAGGGCTCCTATCTATGGTGTTGACGCCTCCAGCAGACTAGGACACGTCCTTTCCTGACAGAATGGATGTTGCTTCTGCCGTCGCCTCCTTCGCTGGCCGTTCGGCACTGTGGTCTGCTGCCGGTAGCCGAAGCCGCTGCCTTCTGTGGCTTTTCTGCTGGCCCGGCGATCGGCCTGGAGTACCGATTCCGCCACTGGGCGAGGCCAAGACTGTGTAGGCCTCTGAATCCCGTCCGACCTCCAGCCGCAGAATTCCGCCGGCCTACGGCGAGAGACTGCCAAGAAAAAGGAGATGGAGCCGGGGACGGGCGGATCGCGGAAATGGTCTGCTCCTCGGGCTGGCTCCCGGTTCTGGCTGCCTTTCTTTTTTTCTAGGCAATCGCTTCCAGGCTCTTCCAAGTTCCCTACACCCTCTGACCCAGAAAATTTCAGGGACACTACACTGCTTTCCCCTGCCCAGCCCGAGGCTCGGACCCGCTACTGGACCAAGCTGCTTTCCCAGCTCCTTGCGCCGCTCCCCAGCTTGCTTCAGAAGCTGCTGATTTGGAGTCAAATCCAACTTAGTGGGCTGATTCCGACAAGATGGCTAGATTTTTCTGCAGGCTACAGCGCTCTGAGAGCCCTGAAAGGACGGGAGGAAGTAGCCGACCCCACAACGGAGAAATCTTTGAGTTCGCTGCGGTTCAACTCATCAGACTACTCGGTTGCCAGTCCCCTTGACTGGCTGGAGGAGGGGATCCACTGGCAGTGTTCGTCCCCACACCTAGAACTGGACCTTAAAACCAGGGGAAATGCTTTGGACCGTGCAGTACACGTGCTTCTTTTAGAGCAGCAGCTGTGGAAAGTAGAGCTGTTGCCGAGTGGCCTTCAGTCCCATATGTACTCTGACCGGGAACTTGGCTCTTCACCCTCCGGCCCTCTCAGCGTTCAACGCTTAGGCAATTTCAACGTAGTCTCCTATTTGCTGAACTCCACCTCCCTGGACGGCCTTCCCCAGCTGGAGCTCAGCTATCAGAACAGCGTTGGAAGTGGCGAGTTAGTTGATTTCCAGGAACTAACTCCGGAGTACAGCTGCCTGATTGAGGACGATTGTCTTCCCCAGCCACTGAATGCAGAGATATCTCCAGCCTCATGGCAGGGATGTCCACCTCTTTCTAGAGAAGGCCTGCCGGAAATTCACCATCTTCGCATGAAACGGTTGGAATTCCTTCAGCAGGCTAGCAAAGGGCAAGAGTTACCCACCCCTGACCAAGATAATGGCTACCACAGCCTGGAGGAGGAACACAGCCTTCTCCGGATGGATCTGAAACACTGCAGAGATAATACAACACAGTTTGTTCCCCCTGCTGGAGCCATTCCAGGAACCACCCAGGAACTTACTGAGGAAAAAATTGAATTGTTGACTAGAGAGATTCCACATGCTTTGGAAAAACAGAGCCCATTGGAGAGCTGTCCTTCTTGTGAGGTACCTATGGTAAAAGAGCCTAGAGAGGACCAAATTAGTGTAGTTGACTACTCCTGCAAAGATGACCTTCCCATTTCTACCAGACCAGCATGTAGTAACAAACTGATAGATTATATTTTGGGAGGTGCATCCAGTGACCTGGAAACAAGTTCTGATTCCGAAGGTGAGGGTTGGGATGAGGAAGCTGAGGATGATGGGTTTGATAGTGATAGCTCACTGTCAGCATCAGACCTTGAACAAGACTCTGAAGGGCTTCACCTTTGGAACTCTTTTTACAGTGTAGATCCTTACAATCCCCAAAACTTTACAGCAACAATTCAGACTGCTGCCAGAATTGTTTCTGAAGACCTTTCTGATTCAGAGAATGATTTATCTGACAGGTCTGACCTAGAGAATTCCTCCCAGACCGGAAGCCTTCCTGAGAGCCCTGACCATAGTTCTGGGGAGGAAGATGATTGGGAATCTAGTGCAGATGAAGCGGAGAGTCTCAAACTTTGGAACTCTTTCTGTAATTCTGATGATCCGTACAACCTTTTAAATTTTAAGGCTCCTTTTCAAACATCAGGGAAAAATTGGAAAGGCTCTTGTGACACAAAGAGACTACCTGAGTCCATTGTGGGCATTTCTGATTCTTGCACCTTACTTTCTTGTAAAGTGCAACTGTTAGGGAGCCAAGAAAGTGGATGTCCAGACTTGGTACAGCGTGAGGTTCTTTCTGGAGAAAGACACACACATATCAAAAGAAAAAAGGTTTGTTTATTTTAACATGTCTGATAATTTTCAGGTGGTTGAGTATAAGTAGCATGACTTTTTTTGGAGGCATAGGATTGCTTGTTTGGGGGCAAGACCTCTAAACTCATGTATTTGGATTGAGCAATGTTTAAATGACCCTCTCCTTTCCTTCTCTTCCCCCCCACCCCCCAGTACATAGTTCCTGCCCCAAAGAAGATGCCAATGTATAGATATTACCAGAAAAGTGCCATTTTTACAGTTCTGGGCTGTTTCCCTGCAAGCTTAAATTTCTCACACTTTTTAAGGGAACGAAATATTAAAACTTGTGTATACATAATGGGGGCCTGGCATGGTGGCTTATGCTTGTAATTCTAGCAGTTTGGGAGTCTGAGATGGGAACATTGCTTAAGGAGTTTGAAACCATCCTGGGCAATAGTGAGACTTCTATCTCTACACAAAATAGAAAAATTAGCTGGGCATTGTGGCAGGCACCTATAGTCTCAGATTTGGCAGGGAGGTTGAGGCAGGAGGATTGCTTGAGCCCAGGAGTTGGAGGTTGCTGTAGGCTGTGATTCACTGCACTCTGACTCAAAAAAGTTTTTTTTTATGTAGATGGAGAAAGTTGTATTATAGCCATAGAGTTTTAGAACAATTTTAAGTAAGTTGTTTGCAAACACTTAATGTTTTATTTGTATGACAGCAGTGTCTTCCTTCCTGTCCATTAGAAAGGGATGGTTACCAAGTCAGTTTTGTCCAGTTGTTTGCCATGAAAGAAAATACTAGTAATTTTAGTATGAAAACTTTCTGACATTACATGGTTTTGATTCCTAGCCCATAACAAGATGGGAAATGGTTATTGCTTTAGGAATGCAATACAAGGTTTCAGTGGTCAGCTGCAGATTAATAATCATAGTAAACAGTGATGGCCACTTGGTTTACCTTGAGTAGTTGCTTCTTATTCCCAGGTTAGTCTTAAAAATGATTGCGGTGTTTTTAATTACATTGTTAAGTTAACTTTGGTTTGGAAATCTTTTGAATTGCCTTATTTTTCTTTATTGTTTAATTCAGCTAAAATTGAGGAAAAGAAATTTCCCCAAACTCAAAGGTGTCTTATTGTACAGGAAAAGTTTCTTTAGTTTTTTATACTTTTATTTGGGAAGGGGAGTAAGTTGTTGACTGCAGATTCTGTAGCATCAGGGAGTTTCAAGTAGACAGAACCATAATAGTATATTGGCTTCCAATGGCCAGCTTAATACTTTGAAACTATCCCTAGGGTAGAAAATACTGATTAATGTTAGTAAGGTAACCGTATGTGTTACCTATAGAAGCAGAGTAAGTCATGATAAAAATTAAATTTTACTTCACACTTCATAAATACCACGATAAAAGAGTTTTTCTCTACCCTTTTATGAGGCCTTTTACAAAATGATCTACTTAGAGCAAATAGGTAAGAAACAAAGTGGGGCACTGGAATGAGCACTAGGCATCTCCAGACAGACCTGTGTTCTTTACTCCCCTGAGTGGTTAAGGCAGAGAAATTTGGAAGACAGCCAGATTTCCAAATCTGGCTGGGAAGTTACTTGACTGTTACGGCCTGGATTCACTCATTTATTTTTTGGGGATAATAATATCTGTTGATAAATTATTGGAATATTTAAACGAGATGAGTAATTAAACTTATAATTCATTGCCTTACCTTTAAATGATAGCTCTTACTCTTCAGAGACCTCAAGCCATTCTCCTGTCTCTTTAGCTGCTTATTGAGAAAATAAAATGAGTGGTGTAGATGAGACTGTTGACTACCATCTAGAGGCAAAACTTATAAAAGGTTATGTTTAAGTAGTAGAGAATTTTATGGCAGTCTTTGACTAACCTGCCATTCTTCAGGTACACAGGAATAACGGATAGTACCTAATTCTTACAATGCTGCTTTCAGCTCTATGGGGTTAAAATTCTTTGTGTCATGGCTAAACAGTACAGGGTGTGGAGCCAGACTTAGTATTTGGATCCCGATTACATCCACTTAGATGCTGTGTGATTTGGAAAAGTTAATTTTTCTATATCTCTTTCCTTATCTGTATAATGGGGATGATGAATAATAGTTCATACCTCATAGGGTTGATGTGAGGATTAAATGAGATAAAAATTGTAAAGCTCTCTGAAAAGAGCCTGGCATATGACAAAAACTATAAATTTTTACTTTTTGTCTTAATGACACAGTGAATAAGTGATATTCCAGATTAGAATGCAATATCTAGTAAGGTGTTACATACCTGCTAATTGTCCTCAGGGGCATTCACTGGCCTGATGTAAAGGGAATGAAAGTGGTTCATAGGCCACAGTGGGACTGGCTGATGTAACTATTGAACATACCTTAAAGCAAGTATTTACTTTTGGAGTTTGATACTCTAGAACAGGGGTCCTCAAACTTTTTAAACAGGGGCCAGTTCACTGTCCCTGAGACCGTTGGAGGGCCAGGCTGCTGGCCGCAGGACAGGTCAGCTGCTGAGCAGGACAGGCAGCTGCAGCAAAAACACCCGGTGGGCCCGATAAATGTCCTAGGCAGGCTGCATGTGGCCCACAGGCCATAGTTTGACGATGCCTGCTCTAGAAAAAAATGTCTTTATTAGAAATAAAGTGGGGACTAAGTGGTAATGAGTAGGGATTGTCAATACATGTCATGTATATTGTAACATTCACAGTTTTGTGTCTGTGTAGTGGTGGCATATTGGATACAAAGAGGCTTTTTATCTTACCTGCAAAATCTCTTACAGTAGCAGCCTAAAGACATTAATTTTGTTGAAGTTCATTTACTAAATTACTTGCTCTTCTCTATTCTGATTACCGAAGTAATAATACAAAAGCAGTACTACAGGTTTATGATTCAAAATTGGAAATTGCTGGCCAGGCACAGTGGTTCACGCCTGTAATTCTAGCACTCTGGGAGGCCAAGGCAGGTGGATTGCCTGATCTTGTGACTTAAAGACTGGCCTGCGCAAGAGCAAGACCTCATTTCTAAAATAGCCGAGTTTATGGCGGGTGTCTGTAGTCCCAGGTACTTGGGAGACTGAGGCAAGCTCTCTTGGCACTTGAGCGCAAGAGTTGAGGTTGCAGTGAGCTATGACACTACTGCATTCTATGAGGGTGACAAAGTGAGGCTCTGTCTCAAAAAAAAAAAAAAAATGGAAAGGGCTGAAAAGTGAAAAAAA